TCGACCTTTCTGTTCGGCCTCGGCAACCCAGTGGGGCCCGAGCGACTGATGCGGAAGCTTTCTGGCCAGATCACAGCAGACGAGGCCATCCATGAATGGAGTACGCTTGATGACGAGGCCGCTGAAGCTGAGAAGATGGACCCCATGGCGAGGAAGCACCTGTGCGCCTGCTGCTACCTCAAAGGGAAGCAGGAGTACATGCTCGACGCTCGCGACTTCGGCATGAAAGCAGCCGCCGACTTCTACGAGAAGTACGTGTCGCAAGGGAGATGGACGAGATGCGTGGACTGCGCGCGCGAGATCGGCCCAATGCCTTGTCGGTCTGCGCGGGCGGCCGAGGCTTCCCAAGGGATGACCGGTGGAAACGCTCCAAGGAGAATCCCGCCAGACCGTTCAATATGCAAGCGGTGTGCGGAACGTGATGATTGGAAGAGGAGCCTGACCCCACAGAGCCACGGGTGCTCTGCTTGCAAAGAAGTTTTTGAGGAAGGCGCGTGGGGCGCGAAAGTTATGAAGCACCATCGGTATTCCGATGCAGACCTCGCGTGCCCGGGTTGCGCAGAGCGAGGGTTCGCGCCCGGCCAAATCGACGAGCACCAGTGCGAAGATTGCTTGGAGCACTTGGGCAGCCTCGCGTTCGACAAGTACGTGCTGTACAATGCGAAGAGGCGGGAGAAGGCCCGTTTGGTGTGCCTGGACTGTCAGACGAAGCTGCGGTGCGGGAAATGTACAACGGCTTATGAGCTGAAGTACTGGTCGAAGTCTGAACGCAGGCATCACGCGTCTTCTCGGGGCACAACTTTGGTCTGCAACGCATGCCGTGCGTTAGGATTCGACCCGTCGGACCTGGAGACGTACATGTGCCAGAGGTGCTCGTGCAGGTTCGGCGCCCGTAAGTTCAACCAAAAGCTACTGGACAACCACAAGCATAACAATCGCAAGAAGCTGCAGTGCAAGGAGTGCGTCGCTGACATCGACGAACGAGTGCGCCACCTGCGCAAAGCGCTGCAGAAGAGCAAGCGAAAGTGCAAGTGCCATTGCCGCATTCACCAAGCCCAATGCCCGCTGACCCCCGTCTTTTCCGGAGAGAAACGCTGGCCGGGCAGCCGCGGAGCGATATCCGCCGACGACCGGAAGTTCTTGGACGAGTTGCAACCGATTCCCGAATGGTGGAGCAAAGCCTGGGGACGATGAGGTACGGCGCGGAGGCCGTCGGCCCAGACTTGTTACTGGCGACATTATCTCTTGGTATAGTGAGGCTGAAAACGGGATGTTGCCTCAATGGGTTCGGGGGTTCCTGTATACATGGCTACGGCGTCGGTATCTATCCAATGGTGGATGTGCCACTACTCATTTTCCGTGGCGCCTCAGGTGGCCTGTACTATAGGAAACAGCTTGCTGGTGGGACGTGTACTCCACTCAGCTGAACCCCGTACGCTTCAGGTGGGCTCTACCATAGGAAACAGCTTGCTGTTGGGACTTGTATTGTAGTCGGCTGAAGCCCGTACTTTGGTTCTCGGGTGTTGGTTACTGCACTCTCTGATGGTGCTGGTTATCCTGTTCTGGTGAAAGTGCTGGTTATTGTACTCAGTGATGGTTCATTGGTGCGAAGATTACGTTTAGTTTATAGTCTGTCCTCCAGTACTGGTGAGGCCCATACTTACCACTATGGATTTCACGCTGCTATAAGAGAATATCTCTGGGTACAGTGAGGCTGGACACTGGATGTTGCCTCAATGGAGTCCGTGGTTCCTGTATACATGGCTGGAGCTTCGGTATGTATCCAATGGTGGATGCGCCGCTACTCTGCTTCCGTGGCGCTTCAGGTGAGTTCTAATATAGGAAACATCTCGCTGGGGGAATTTGTATGGCAACATGGCAGGGCCCGTGCTTGAGTTTTCTCGTGCTGGTTACCATAATCTGTGGTTACTATACTGTGTGCGGGTGTTTGTTACCCTGGCAGGTGATGGTGCTGGTGACTCGACTCAGTGTTGGTTCATTGGTGGCAGTACCTTGTGATTCAGCGCTCGATGCGAAAACATGCGTTTCCTCTTCACAGTCCTTGAGCACCGCAGCCTGCTCTGCGACCGAGTCGACCAGGCTCGAAGGCCTGTGCGAAAACATATGTGCCTCTACTCATTGTCAGTGACGCTTCAGGTGGGCTGTACTATAGGAAGCAGCTTGCTAGTGGGACTTGTACTCCACTCGGCTGAACCCCGTACTTGGGGTCTCTGGTGCTGATTAGTGTACTCTGTGATGGTGCTGGTTACCCTGTTCTGATGAGAGTGCGGGTTTCTGTACTCAGTGATGGTTCAGTCCTGCACCTACTAGGCAAGAGAGCCACGCGTTTCTGGGCGCCCGTATGACTTCGTTGGAGGAACACGTACGGCATTGGGCTCAGATGGTGTATGCTCTGTATTGCACGACTGTTGAGTGCACTACTTACCGCTATGACTCTGGGTAGAGCGAGTCGGGACACGGGATGTTGCCTCAACTGAGCTGTCGTTCGTGGGTTCTCTGGTGCTGGTTTCTATACTCTGTAATGGTGCTGGTTATTCTGCTGAGGTGATGGTGCTGGTTACTGTACTCGCCGCTATTGCCTCTGAGTCTTCGTGATTGCTAGGCTCCTTCGGGTGTTCGGCAGTGGGCTGAGATGGTTTATGGTCTCTCGTCCAGTACTGGGAGTACCTTGTGATACACCGCTGCATCAGTAATGGGTGGTATCGCTACTGTGCCACACTGGGAGATCAGGCAGTTTTATCCGTGGTGTGGCCGCTACCACGGTGCAGTGGATTCGTTCGGTGCTCTCCTCCTGGTGTGAGTCGTTCGGGTCCCCCCTCCTGGTCAAAGTCGTTCGGGCCCCTCCTCGATGTGTGAGTCGTTCGGCGAGGGGCCCGAACGACTCACACAAGGAGGGGCCCGAACGACTCACACCAGGGCGAGGGGCCCCAACTACTCACACCACCTGCATTCTGGTCCAGGACGTGCACACTCTGAGTTCCGTGATTCCTCAGATCTGTTCGAGGGGGCCGATCTTGGAGGCGAGTTTCCCCTTCTGCTCCTCTTCCACCTCTCCCTCCTAAGCTGCCGCCTGCTGCCCGCGCCCGACTTGATGGGCGAACCTGCCTTTCAGGTGCAGCTCAGAGCTGCGAGCCTGAGCAGGGTAGTCACTTGTGCCGCGTGCGCACTGCAGAACTGGACAGGGAAAGATCGCTGGATCGTCGACGCCGTCGTCCATTCAATCGTCGTCGTCGAAGTCGTCGTTGTCATCGTAAGCATGGTCGTCGTCGTCGTCGGCGTCGTCGCCGCCATCATCGTCTGAGAGGTCGCCGTCGTGTGAGTCGTCTGAGTCGGTTACGTGTAGGACTCGAGGAGGACCGCCTTCTGTCTTGGCTCCCATCGCCTTCTCTCCCTCCTCCTCTTCCTCCTCGTGGGCTCCCTCAACAAGATAGATGTAGGAAGATAGAAGAAGAGGCAGGAGGAAGAAGACACAGGGGATATGTGCGAGGGCACGCGGAGACACGCCTGAAGCACACCACGGTCGGCATGCTTCGCTAGAGTAGTAGTGGCGGTAGTAGTAGTGGTAGTTGTATTGTAGTAGTAGTAGTAGTAGTAGTAGTAGTAGTAGTAGTAGTACTAGTACTGGTAGTAGTAGTAGTAGTAGTAGTAGTAGTAGTAGTAGTAGTAGTAGTAGTAGTAGTAGTAGTAGTAGTAGTAGTAGTAGTAGTAGTAGTAGTAGTAGTAGTAGTAGTAGTAGTAGTAGTAGTAGTAGTAGTAGTAGTAGTAGTAGTAGTAGTAGTAGTAGTAGTAGTAGTAGTAGTAGTAGTAGTAGTAGTCGTAGTAGTAGTAGTAGTAGTAGTAGTAGTAGTAGTAGTAGTGCGTAGTACGTAGTAGTAGTAGTAGTAGTAGTAGTAGTAGTAGTAGTAGTAGTAGTAGTAGTAGTAGTAGTAGTAGTAGTAGTAGTAGTAGTAGTAGCAGTAGCAGTAGCAGTAGCAGTACGAGTAGTGGTAGTGGTAGTACGAGAAGCAGTACGAGGAATAGCACTAGGAGTAGCAGTACAAGTGGCAGTAGCAGTAGCAGACGTTCGGGCTCTTCGTGGTGTGAGTCGTTCGGGCCCCTCGTCCTGGCTCCTCGTGGGGCCTCTTGGAGCCTCTTGGGGCCTCTTGGGGGCCTCTTGGGGGCCTCTGGGGAGCCTCTTGGGGGCCTCTTGGGGCCTCTTGAGGCCTCTTGGGGGCCTCTTGGGGGCCTCTTGGGGGTCTCTTGGGGCCGCTTGGGGGCCTCTGGGGGGGCTCTTGGAGGCGTCTTGGGAGCCTCCTGGAAGCCTCTTGGGGCCATCTTGGGGCCTCTTGCGACCTCCTCAGAAGCGCAAATGAGAGCTGTCCCCTGAGAAGGACAAACTGAGCCCAAAACCTTCGTAAAATCAATGATTTTGCTATGAAGGAAGATGAGCGCGGCCCCCTCAGGACGCCAAAATGGGGCCAAAACCGTAGTACAATCAATGATTTTGGCTTCAAAGAAGAGCAGAGGGGCCTATCTCCCTCCCTCCGTCGGGGCCAGAATCCTCGTGAGGTGTCGTTTTTGGGCCCTACCAGGAGTCGAAAACGGCCCCTCTGACCACCCGCCGGACTCCCTCTCCAGGCCCAGGGGGAGGGGGGAGGGGGAGGGGTAAACCCCTCCCCGAAGGGGAAGAAGGGGGGTTGAGAACAGAGAGAGCTCGCTAAACCACTCACGCCCAAAGGGCTGGTGGGACTGAGGGGGCTGAGGCGCCAGCACGCCACCCGTCTCGGGACGGCCTCCGGGCCGATGGAGCTCGCTCGAACTGCAGGGTTTCCCCGCCTCCCCAGACCCCCGACGTTGTGTTTTTTTCGACGACGTCGACCCCCCGAGGTCTGGACCCCTTCCCCAGGACCGGTTTTTCGTCCTGAGTCGTTGTTCGACGGTCCCGAGGCAGAAAATAGCGAGAACGTTCCCGTCGCTATTTATCCACAGCGCGAGGAGGTCTGGGCCCCCAGCCCCGCTGGCATGAGCAGGCGCGCAGCACAACGCGAGGAGGTCTGGGTCCCCAGCCCCGCTGGCTTGAGCAGGTGCGCAGCCTGGCGAGGCCTGCGCGCGCGCGCTGCCCCAACGCCAGGCGCAGCACATGGCGCCCGCCGCCGCGGGGCGGGCGGCAGCGACGGGGGCGCCTCTTCTGGAGGCACGGCCCACGGCGCCCGCGATGGTGTCGTCGGCGCTCGCGCAGGCGCGTCCCAGACACGATCGCGTCGTAAAACATCTCGGCGGGGAGCGAGGGGGGGAAGTGAGAAGGAAAAGGCCTTCTCAGAAGGCGGCGGGACTTCTCTGAAGCCCTCGGACCTTCTGAGAAGTTTCTTGTGTCTTCGGGGAAGGCTTAGAAAACTTCTCAGAAGGCCGGTGGACTTCCGAGCCTTCTGAGAAGGCCTTTTCCTTCTCGCTTCCCCCCTTCGCCCGCCGCCGAGAAACAATCGGGCGTCAAGTTTTTCGTTTGCTTCGGCCCTTGGGGGCCCTCGCCGGTCCCCGGAGCGTCGAAAAACTACACAGGATGAAAACCCGGCCCTGTGGAAAGGGTCGGGACTTCCGGGGACGCCGTCCTGAAAACAACAGGACGTCGCATGTCTGGGGTTGGGAAGCGACACCACCACCAAGGCCACCAGCGGGAGGTGCCAGGGGGGGGTACCCTGGTGGTGGGGTCCCCCCCCTCTCGCTCGAGACGTTCCCTATCCCAGCTCGGGGAGGCATTGTATAGTGTATACCTCCTCACTGGAGGTGCCCCGGGTGGTGGTGATTGTGTCGCTTCTCCTTCCCCCCAGGCGCGGGCCTGGATCGCCTCCTCGCTGCCGCTGTGGCTGGGCGCCGCTGGGTTTCTCTGCGGGGCGCTGCTGCTGCTGCGGGCGCGCGGCGGCCGGCTCCGGGACGGCGGCCCCGGCGCCGGGAGGGGCCCCGTCGGTGGCAGGCAGGCGAGGCAGCCAGGCGCGCACGAGGGCGGCACACCTCGTCCCCACAAGGGGCCCGGCGAGAGAGGCCCCAGGCTGCCGGTGGTGGCGTATTGGGACGCCCAGGGCGGCCAGGTGGACCGCGCGCCTGAGGACGGGCCGCTGCCGAACGTGATCCTGACGTGCCCGCTGTCGCACCTGGAGCGCCTGTTCAACCTCGTGGTCGCAGAGCACGGCGCCCAGGGCGACGTGCTGCAGTGCTGGAGGTTTGCGCCGCCCTCGGCGACGACGTCCAAGGTCCGCCTCATGGGCCTGCGATGCGCGGACCCCGACAGCGTGGTCGACAGGCTGGCCCAGGACGGCAGGCTGTCGTGGGTGCTGCAGAAGCTCTACCGGGTCGGCGACAGGGAGCGGCCCCAGCCCAGCCTGGAGGCCGCTGCCGCCCGCCTGGCAGTGCAGCTCGACGAGGCCCGCGCCAGCGTCCGCGGCGCCGCCGCAAGTGAAGTCTCGCCGCTCAGAGTGCGGCTCTCGTGCTTCCCCGCGTCCAGCACCGATCCGCTCCTCGGCGCCCTGGAGACGGCGGTGCCGCAGCCGCCCGGCGGGGGGGGGATCGAGCTCGTGCCCACGCGGCAGGAGGTGGTCGCTGCCGCCGTCCAGGTGTGCAAGGGCGTCTGGCTGACCGGCGTCTCGGCCTCCGGTGCCCTCGCGGAGCACATGGCGAGCCGCCGCGGGACGGGCGATGCCGTCTCCCGGGCCTACTTCAAGTTGGCGGAGGCGTTGCAGGCGGCCGGGCCGGCGGCGGCGGCCTGCCTGGCTGGAGGCGCCGCGCTGGACGCCGGCGCCGCGCCCGGGAGCTGGACCCAGCTCATGCTGGAGCTCACGAGCGGCGATTTTTCGTTTCTCAGCAAGCTAGGCTGATGGGCAAATTTTGCACCACCACTACCAATGTAGGACGGAAGAGAAGGGGGGATGAGGAGGTCCTCCTCCTCCTCCTCAGCCTCCTCCTCCCTCTCCTACATATAGTAGCGGTGGTGGAAAAATGGGCCCATCATAGGCTCTTAGGCCGAAAACCTGCGCAGACAGACATATCCACCCGAAGGCATGCATACATGGGGCTAGCGGGGGCTAAGCCTGAGAGCGAGCGCCACGTCGGCGAGCGACGCCTCTGTGCGCAGCCGCTTCGTGGGCCAGATGGCCTCCCACGAGCGGCGAACATGTCCATATTTGTGGCCTCGCGGTTTGGATTCCCAGGGCGCGGTCCCGTGGATACGCGGTCACGTGCATGCTTTCCGCGCGGGGCGTCCACGAGAAATCGCCTTGTACCTATGGAGTCGCGACCGAGGAGTCCAGCCCGCGAGGGCGTGGATATGGAGATGTGTCCCGCCCTCGAGGAGAAGGGCTGCCAGCGCGTGTACGCGGTGGACCCTTGCCAGTTGCGGCCAGAGGTCGCAGTCGCTGAGGGTGTCGAGCACATGCAGACGACGCTGCGAGACGCCGTCGGCGTGCTCGCCGAGCGCCAGAAGAGCGGGCAGGCGCCCCTGCTCGACGTCTGCGTCTCGGACATGAAGTTGCCCGCCCTGTCCTCGGTAGTCAGGGTGGTCGCGGAGGCGGGCGTGTTCCAGCTGCTGCGCCCCGGGGCCCTGGTCGTGCTTACCGTGAAGGGCGAGGCCGTGAAGGGGAACTCGCAGAAGCGGCTGTGCACAGATGCCGCCTTTCCCGCCGCCAAGGAGCTGCAGGCGCACTGCGACGGCGTGCAGGTGCTGCACCTGATGGCCAATCGTGAGCTCGAGCGGACGATCATAGGTTTCTGTAAGAAGCGGAAATGACCGTTTATATCAGCCATCGCTCGCAGGACAGCTTGCCTGCGTGGTTGGACGCTTATTCCGCTCGTGGGCACGGCGCTTGAGGCAGCGTAGTGACTTCATGATTGCGTCGCCTAGCTTGCAAGCGTGCCGAAAAAAAGAGGCGGTAGACGGCATAGACTCCTCTGGATGCCCGAATGCCCTTTGGGGCGCGCCTCCCGGCGTCGCGGCCGTAGGGGGCTCGCTGGCACGCGCTCGGGATGTTCGATTGTGCTGATGCTGCTGAAGTGACGTCGCAGTTTTAGATAACACTTCTGGCCGGGCCAAGCCCCAGGGTAACTACAGATCTGTTCAGCAGTTGTGGGCCTTCTTATATTTGTCGGCGATCATGGTGCTGAGAATAGAAGCCCCTCTGTTCACTTGGCCCTGCTGAGTTGGCCCCCTGTGGCTAGCTGACCGTGTGACCCCGCGCAATTTTCATCCGCCACAGTCACGACCTGGGCTGGCAAATATCGTCGACAGCCCAGTCACCCAACTAATCCCCACCACCGTCCGGGTACGAAAAGGTTGTCGGGAGTTTAGGGTTCAGCCTTCTGACTCGGATTGCCTTCGCTCTTCGCCACATCTGCGGCACGCACAGCATGCGCGCATCCGCCCAGTGCTGCCAGTTTCCCGAAACTCAGAGTGACTCTCGACCGTGAGCGCGGCCCCGTTGTTCGAGGGAGTGTTGTTCGCTACGAGATTGATCCGATCGGCGCCAGAACATTCCCCAAACAGTGCTTGCACTTGAGGAATTGGATGAGTCTTGCGAGGCTTCGCCGCGTTGCCTCCCGTTGCCGCCTCGTTGCCGCCTCGTTTTCATTGCCGCCTCTAGCTTGCATCTCGTATGCTGTGCCACACAGTTGCCACTACAGAGCTTGCACAACATTGCATACACATCCACAGTGCAATACTTGACTGTTTGGGGCCCACGCCTGTTAACATCTTCAGTTAGACACGGCTGAATGGTGCTTGTATTTGGCCGTGCAAACAAATGGTGGTAGCCGCCACCCTACCATTTGGAGGGAGGAGAGACCACCACCAGCAAGCCACCTCCAGCCAAGAGAGGCAGAAGGCCTTGTCCATCCATTTCGAGCATGATTCGCTTGTGGTACCTCCGCGTACGTTGTCCTGGCGAGGATTGCTCGCCATCGGCGGTCGCTGTGGGTTTGGACAACACTTGTTGCTGAGCATCGTCTCCATTAGTGTTGCTCCCGTCTTTTGACTGTCATAGTGGTGATGAGGAAAAGGGATCAAGATGTTGGGCGTGTTCGTCTTCCTTGGGCCTCGGGAGTCCTCCGGATTTCCCTTTTAGGGCCTCCAGGGATTTCCTGGAGTCTCTGGCGACTTCCCGCGATCGGGTCATCGATGTGGACCTAGCGTTCCGAAGTATTTGTGCCATGCGTCCTTCGCCATTGTCTTGGGCCCTGCCACCGTCGAGAGGCTCGGGGCAAAAACAGCCAGATCCCGGGACGGGGTTGAGAGTTCGGCGGGGCCGATGTCTTGGGAGGGGGAGCGGGGGGGGGGAATGGAAACGTAGGGGGGTCTGGCAGTGAGCAGTAGGATTGTGCAGATTTGGGGCCGCTTGGGCGGTAATGATGAAGTTCCTTGGAAGTTCCTCCTAGTGTCCTGTCCTCCAGCAGGAGGAGGGGGAGGGACAGGAAACGGAGGGTGGAGGAGAGAGAAGGTGGAACGAGGTAGCATTATGGTGGAGGCAGGGCGAAAACAGCAGAGGGTGGAGAGGGAGGAGGAGGAGGAGGAGGCGGAGGAGAAGGAGAACGAGGAGGAGGCGGGGGAAGCAGTGTAAATCCAATACGCGTCAACAATTTTGCAATACACCCTCCCTCCAAATTCGCCTTATCATATGTCCGAACAGCAAGTTATTTTCATGTTCGGGAAATATTGTATTGAACGACGACCGTCTGAGAATCCTCGATCGTGCCAAAACGCAATTCCTGGGGCTTCTGCGCTGCGAATCAACACGACGGCTGCATCCTGACAATCCGACGTCACTCCAGAACAGTCCTGGAAATTCGGTACCGCGAATCAACGTGGCTGCTGCGTCCTCAACATCCCCAATCGTACCAGACAGCTACGCCTGGGACTTCAACATCCTTGGATCCTGCAACTGGTTGGCGAATGCGCGCGGTGCGAAGGCGAGAGCCACATTTTGAATTTGGGCCACACTACGTACGTGAAAGTGTTGGAAACTTGTCAGACGAATGTGCGCGGCGCCAAGGCGAGAAACACACTTTGAACACTTTCCGCCCTCCACCCTATCTCGGATGTGCGCACCTAGAGCTACCTTACAAAAACGGGCCTCATTATATCCTTGAACCTGTTGCGAATGTTTAGATCGACTGTGCGCGGCGCGTAGGCGGTAGCTACATTTCCAATGCTTGAAAATGGTCCGCCTTTCATCCTGCAGATTGCTGCGCATGTCAAGCCTCAGGATCATAAATTCGGCGTCACCTCAACATATTCATACTATCTGGTGCGTCGCCCTCCCAGGGGCGACGCGCGCACCGAGAACTCTTATAATATATATGTCGTGAAGGGCGCTTTCTGGCCACACCGCTCGGGAAACGATATACTACAAGATGGGTATACTATATGTTCGGGTCGGACGCGCGCCTCCAAGGACATATAGTATCATACTGTCTCTGTGCTTCCCATGAATGATCAAGTCTCAGGCGAAACGCCCGGCCCGCCCTCCCGAAACGTCTGGGGGTGCGACAGAGAGGATGAATTCATGAGACGAAGGGATGTAGGAGGAGGAGAAGGAGAAGGAGGAGGAGGAGGAGGAGGAGGAGGAGAAGGAGGAGGAGGAGGGGGATCAGGGATCAGGCCGAGGCGCAACATCCGATTCGGATGAGGGCTGGCGGGCAGGGGAAAAGGAGGAGGGCGCGGGATTCCCGCCGTCACGGTCCCGCAGCCCTCCGCACAGGCCGAGGGCCCCTAGGGCACCAGCCGTGGAGGAAGAGTAAAGGATGAGGGAGACGGGGGACGGGCGGGTGAGGTTGGGGAGAGATGGGATGTAGAGGGAAGATGGATGAGGACGGGTGAGGTGCGAGGACAAGGAGGAGCATGAGGACAGATCTTGTATCGCTTCAGCCTTGGGTCGGGGTGGCCAGGTAGGTACAGCCTGGGCACAACATTCCATCGAAAGGCCTAATGACTGTCCATGTGCTCGGCCGTAGGGCGTCGCGGCGGATTGCCAAGGCTGGCGCCCCTCAGTGAAGGCGCGTGGAGCTGGTTAGGCAAAGAACGACCTGTGCACCGCCGCTGGAACTCCACGGGCCCGGTTTTGGCCTTGTCCTGCAGTGTATCTCGGCGAAACGATAACAAAATCTGGCCCAGAATGGGCCTGAGGATGCATGGCGACAAAGCCTCAGTCTCTTCTCCCGGCTCTGCGTTCTGGCGCGCGTGGTCGCCAAACTGTTCTCCCTTCCTCCCTCCATCCACACTCGGCCCCTCTTCTGCCCTGCTGAGCCAGTGGCCCTGGGGCCTTCGGTTGCGATTCCGCCGCGCGCTTCAAGCCCACAATTGCACGGATCTGCCCTTCTCTGCCCGAGGGCCCCAGGGGCCTCGACCCATGCCTTGGTATCGCTCGGACGTGCATTTTCTTTCGGCGGGGATTATTAAGGAGCATCCTGGATCATCCTGCGGAAAAAAAACACGCACGGAACCAACAAAGCACAGCGAATGGACGTCCGAGCGGTGGCCAGATGCGGCCCGCGGACTGGGACACGCAAGTGCGATCGAAGTCTCGGGCCCCTGGATCTGGCCCGAGACACGTCCGCAGGGGAATGCACCTCGTCCCGGATCCACTTGTGATGGTCCCGAGGCCCGAGAGTTCCCAGGGACGCCAGAAGAAAACAAACACGTTCGAGTTGGGAGAACATGTGCCTGGGAAGCTCGGAGGGGAGAGGAGGGCCGCGCAGAGGCCCCCCGGGTGTCAGCGGCCAGCGGCACAGACGAGCTCGCTGAGCACGCTGAGGTCCAGCATCGGTTCGCGCGACTTCATGGCCAGGCCAGCACGGGCGCACTGGATGCAGGCCAAGCCTGGCCCAGGCCTGACCTGGCAAGTCCAGGGCGTGACGCGCCAGAGGGGCTGCGAAAGCTCAAACCTTGTCGGCTTGGCGAGGGTCCCTGCAAGAAGACGGGGCAGGTCACCAGCATTTCTTGGCTCATTTGGGGCTGAGTTCACAGCTGGGTCATTAGGGGCGATCGTATTTGTTTTTGCTTCCAGCCCCTGCCCGTATCTTGTTCGCCGCATCGCGCGAGGAGCACCAGACGATCTTGCAGCAGATGGCACGGGAGACGCGCGAGATCAAGTCTTTGCAGTCCAAGCTGAAGTGGAACATGGTGCGGCATGCTCACCCGAATCATGTACCTTGTGGTTCTTCAGTATGAAGATGCGAAATAACGTTTTCTTGTACGGAACACTTTGTCACCTAGTGGCGCGTACAGCATTGCAAGAGTCGCAGACTTTAAAGTTGCAATGGATGTGTATACGTAGCACCCCGCAATTGCGGATAAGAGTGAGGGGGCAGGCGCGGGCGACGCGGGCGTCGTCGAGCCGGCGGACCTGGTGGCCCCCACCTTCCCTGTCGATGGCGCTCTCCTCTCCTCCTCCTCCTCCTCCTCCTCCTCCTCCTCCTCCTCCTCCTCCTCCTCCTCCTCCTTTTCCTCGTCCTTGTCCTCGTCCTCATCGTCATCGTCATCCTCCTCCTCCACCTCGTCCTCCTCCTCCTCTTTTTCCTCGTCCTCCCTCTCCCCCCCCTCGTCCTTTCATCATCGTCCTCCCATTGTCGTCCTCCCCCCTCATCGGCCTCCATCATCGTCCTCCCATTGTCGTCCATCATCATCGTCATCCTCCTCCCCCTCCTCGTCCTCCTCCCCCTCTTCCCCCCCTCCTCCCCCTCCTCCTCCCCCTTCTCCCTCTCGGCATTGGTTTGTTCAGTGAACGTGGTTTGGGTCGCGGGTGGGTCGCGGGCTCTCCACCTCCACCTGGCAGGAATGCAAAAGCAGCCCGCCGCAGGCGCCAAAAAAATTGGTTTGTACACTGAACGTGGTTTTGGTCGCGGGTGGGCCGCGGGTTCTCCACCGGGAGCGAATGCAAAAGATGCCCGCCGCAGGCGCCGAAAAAATTGGTTTGTACCCTGAACGTGGTCGCGGGTGGGCCGCGGGCACTCCACTTGAAACGACTGCAAAAGATGCCCGCCGCAGGCGCCGAAAAATGTGGTTTGTACCCTGAGCATGGTTTGGGTCGCGGGTTGGTCGCAAGTTGGTCACGGGGTGGGTCGCGGGCTCTCCACCTGGAAGGAATGCAAAAAAAGCCCGCCGCAGGCGCCGAAAATTGTGGTTTGTACCTTGAACGTGGTTTGGGTCGAAGGTGGGTCGCGGGTGGGTCGCGGGGTGGGTCGCGGGTGGGTCGCGGGTGGGTCGCGGGGGGTCGCGGGTGGGTCGCGGGTGCGGGCGGGTCGCGGGGTGGGTCGCGGGTGGGTCGCAGGGTGGGTCGCGGGGTGGGTCGCGGGGTTGGTCGCGGGGTGGGTCGCGGGTGGGTCGCGGGTGGGTCGCTGGTGGGTCGCGGGGTGGGTCGCGGGTTAGGTCGCGGGTGGGTCACGGGGCGGGTTGCGGGTGGGACGACGACAACAAACAACAACAACAAATAACAACAACAAACAACAAACAACAAACAACAAACAACAAACAACAAACAACAAACAACAAACAACAAACAACAAACAACAAACAACAAACAACAAACAACAAACAACAAACAACAACAACAACAACAACAACAACAACAACAACAACAACCACAACGACAACGACAACGACAACGACAACACCAACAACAACAACAACAACAACAACAACCAACAACAACAACAACACGAATCCGCACCGCGGAATTCCACTTCAGCCACGCACCCAGGGACAGTGGATGATCGTTCGCCCCCCTCACTCTGATGTGTATACACATACAAATAAACACGCACAAACACACATACAAGCCTATATGTCCGTATGCAGGCTGGTATGGTCATACCACTTGGTGCGTGTATCCCCTACGCCGTCGACCCTCCGTACCAGAGCTGTTCTGGCTGGTGAGTTTTGGCACCGAGCCAGGCTCCCCTCTCCCGCGTGGCGGTGGTGCATCCGCCACGGCGCGAGGGTCGCAGGGCGCCGTGGCATCTGCGCGACGCCGTCGCGTGGCCGGGCGACGGCCTGGGCCACGCCACGCTGCGTGCACTCGGGGCGAGGAGCACGAGCGCACTCCAGGACGGGAGATGGATGCAGCTCGCGGAGGCGGCGTCGTCGCCTCGGTCGCGGAGCTGTTCGGCGACGGCTTGAGGCCCGAGGTCGTCGAGGACGACGACGAGGCTGTGGCCACCTTGGAGGAGCTGGGGCCGTCGCCCGCAGACCCGAATGTCATCGAGCCGAAGTCGTTCTACTTGAGTACGGGGTTCAACGGCGACGGCGAGCAACAGTGCGGTTTCGTGTGGTTGGCGCTGCGGGTGTCGGTTCCTCTTCAGCGACGATACGTACTGGGATTGGTGGGCGGCGTATCCAGGCGTGGTGGGTGGGATGTCTCCCAGCGGCCTGCTGCACATCTGCACGGACGAGCTGTGCGGCGTCGACGCACCTGCGGGCTGCGACGAGCTCGTCCACGTCGTGGAGGCCCGCAGGCTGGAGGCCGAAGACATCGCCGAGGTCTTCTCCGACTACTTGCCCCGCAACCCCGAGGCGGTCTGGCCCGCAGACCTGCTGGGGCCACGTGCGGCGCGGCTGGCCGCCCCGCGCCTGCCGGCGCGCCCGACGAAGGAGAGTGCTGCGCCGCCGACACCTGGGGCGGCAGGGCCACGTGCAGCCGAGCGCACGGTTTTGGGCCACAGTTCTCCCCTCGATGGGCTGCTCGGCGACAGTGCCCTGTCCGCGCGGGCTGCAGGCCCCCCGCCCAATCTGGAGCCCACGCGGGACGAGCTGCGGGCCAGGCTCGCTGCGGCGCGGGACCGGTTCGCCTCGGCAGCGCTTGGGGCCGTTGCGGCTGGCGCACCCCTCAGCAGTGCGGAGGGCGCGCCGAGCGAGGCAAGCCGAAGAAGCGTGGCCTCGCCGAGGTGCTCGCGGAGCGGATGGCGAAGGTCGCCAAGGCCCCCAGCGCCGAGGCGGCGCGCGGCTCAAGCGGCCCAGCTGCTGTGGCTGTGACCAGCGAGAGAGCTGCGGGCGAAGGCGTGAAGGAGCTGGCGACGGCGCTCATGGCGGTGCTCGAGAGCTCGGCCACGCAGGCCGCTGGCAGCTCAGGCGATGGCGCCGCCTCGGACCCCCTAAGCGCAGCCGACGGGGCTGCGGCCACAAGGGGACTTGCGACCAAGCGGGCTCATTGCAGGAAGATGGCGCAGGACCAGCCAGGCAGGCTGTCAGAGCTCACGCTGATGCAGATGGCAGAGTTCCTCGGCGCCGTCGATGGCGACGCGGCGGAGGACCCGACGTCGGCGCTTGTGCTGAGGTACTTGCTCACGATCTACTTGCCGCAGAACCCAGCGCAGCAGATCGGGGTGGCTGCGTATCGCGAGATGCGGACACTGGCCGAGTCGATCGACTTTTTCTTCCAGGGCAGGCGCTGGACATCCTGACCCAGCGGCTGAAGGCGGCGCAGGTGGCAGTCGGCGATGGGCACTGGGGCACGGCGAAGTGGTTCGAGCTGATCCCCACCAAGGACGAGCCCGCCACGCTGCGCAACGAGGAGGAGGAGATGATCCGCAGCATCGAGCCCGGCGAATTGAAGCTGGAGGAGCCCAGCAGCCGGCTTCGCAAGCCCCAGGCTTGAAGTGGAGGCTGGGAGGAGGCGCGCCCGCTGCTGGCGCCTCCCCCAGCAGGCCAGGCGGGGGGGGGGGGGCCCTGCGACGCCGCGGCCGCCCGGCAATCGCGCGCCCGCCCGCCCGAGGGCGCCGAATGGCAGCGCGCGGGAAGGCGAGAGACCGCCTGATCAGCGAGTCGCGCAGCTCGACAATGCCGCAGAGATTCTGCCCGCTGGAGGCTTGCAGGCGCCGCTGAACTCCAGGGCGGCGAAGGTTGTCTGCCGGGGGGCAGACGGCGAGACGCCGAAGGAGCACAAGGCGCGGCTGCGGGACTTCATGGCGGAGTCGCGCGGCCAGAGGCGGTAGCAGACGTTGCCGAGGCTGCTGGAGGTGCAGCTTCTGGGGAGGGGGGCGCGGCGCGGTGCCCGACCTGTGTCAGCGGGTCGCTGCTGGTGTCTGAGGACTTCCTTTGGCTGGAGGCGGAGGGGGCAAGGAGCCGCTTCGCGGCTGGAGCGCTTCCCAGCGGGAGCCAGCAGCGGGAGCTGGCGAGCACCTCTCTCCCCCGCGGCGCGCGGGGCCTCCCCGCCGCGGGCTGCGCCGCACGCGACGCTGGGGCGTGGCGCGGCGAGGTCACGCTCCAGTTCGGCACGACCATCACGAGCAGCGACATGACTGTGCACCTCGTGGAGCTCGGCGAGCGCCACCCTGGCAGCCTGGGTACTTGTTCGAGAGGATTAGCAGAGCGCGTGTCCATACTTTGCAGGGGCGGCAGGCGCGTTCGTGACCTGTTGCCGTTGCCCCTGCCGAGTCTCTCGGCTGTCAGGCGCTGGCGCACGAGCAGAGATGCTGGCCACAGGTGCAGGGCCGGGCCTTTCGCTCGCCAGGAAGCTGACGAGGCCTGGTTGCTTCTCGCCGTCGCGGCGCTGAATTACGGGCACTGTGGTCGCTGCAGAAAGGGTCGGAGGCATCGCCCGATCTTGTCGCGGGCGCAGCAGCAGGCCACGGGGCCCCTGAAGCCCCGCGTCGTCGACTTCGCGGGGGGCCCTTTCGAGCAAGTGAGCGCGCCCGCCGCCGACGCGGCCCTCAGCGAGGCGACCGTGGGCTACTCGGGCGAGGCCGCGAGGGTGGCGTTGCCCTACGTGCTCGCGTATCTGGCGTCAGGCTTGCCGCTGTCTGAGCATGCCGCGGCGCTGGGCGCCCTAGACCTTCGTGGAGCACGACATTCCCGAGCGGTTGGCCTCGCCCGAGAAGGCCCTTCCCCCCGAGGCCGACTGGCCCGACCCCAGGCCTCGGGCCAGGGCCAACATCGCGGACAGAGCGGGTTGGCATGAGCTCGCGGTGCGCCTCATGGAGCTCAGGATCGTCGCGGTGCTGAGCGAGGACGTGTTTGTCGGGGTCAGGGGCGAGCCGCTCTTGAACGGGCCCTTCGCGGTAGCAGGGGAGGGCAAGCCAGGGCCAGGCGGCGAGCGGGTCATCGGGTTGATCTTGGACATGGTCCGCGGGAATGCCTTGCTCGAGCCGCCTGTCGGTGAGGCTTCGCTCCTCGCGGCGCCCACAAGC